AAAACTTGAAGCAAGGGTAAATTATTTTACTGGGTAAATTACTAAATTACTCACATCCTTTGGTGAGTTTTTACTCCCCCTTGGTCGGGAGGTTCCATCGTACGATAGCTCAAATATTTGAAAGTCTTGTCACCAAAAAAAAAGAAGAAGTAAAAGTCTATCTTGTACCGTTGGAAAGCTTTGCACCAGAGAGAAAGAAAGAAGGTCCTCCTGTCCTAAATATAACATTTTTTTATAGTGTAAGTTATATTATAAAAGAAATTTTATATTTAGAATTGGAGGGATTTTTTTTTTTAAAGCAGGATCAAACCCCTGATCTTGGTTAAGCTGGTATGATCCCCTGCTAGTTTACCTAAGCACTTGGTGGTAGTAATTTGTTATTTTAAAGCTTATATTTTTAACATTTAGTCTTTTTTAAATAATTCTAATTTTTTTAATCCTTTTTACTAAATATTTTTCTCTACAAGTTCTTTATTTTGATTCTCCCTGTTTTATTTCTCAATGTTTTTCATTATCTTCTGATCCGTTATTGAACCCTTTATTATCTAAATAGTCTAATTAAAAATATTTTTTAATAGTCCAATTTATCTTTTAGTCACACCGTGATGTTATCCGTCTATTATTTTTTATCCACATCTTTTTCATCTCTTAGATTAAATAGATGGGATTATGTTCTTAGAATAGTTCCCATTGGAGTCATTTTTTTCCATAAATAACCCACTTGTGTCATTTACCCAGAAAACTATTCCGTTTAAAGAGAATTCGGATGTGCAAACCAAAGCAATATGGCTGACCATTTACCCCTAGAACTTAGTTTTCCCTTGTTTTAAATCTGTGAGGCCATACTTTTTCTCTAGAAAAGGACATATAATAGTTTAAAATGTGTTTAAAGAGTGCTTTAATTACGTTTTTTGAAGAATTAATTATAAAATTTGAGGAAAAACATCAAATTTACCAATTCAATAATAACATGAGTTTATGAAAGAAATTTGAAAAATCCCTACTTTCATGACACAGCTGTAATGTTTTAAAGTTTAAATCGAACCATATTGATGCAGACTTGGAAACAACTGTCTCACATTTATTCTTTGTTTGTTTGTTTGTTTGTTTTTTTTTTTTGGCATCACCCTTCGTTCCTAAACATACCATGTGAGTCATTTTGATTCTGAATTAGGGGCCCCAATTTGGTGTGTTTTTTTCCCGGTGGAAAGTGCTCAATTTATTATATATATTTAAGAAAATTTTTTATCAATAAAGTAGGAAAAATTCCAAAGCAATATTTGTTGAATTTTAAAATTTTAAATCAATAATTATTAAGAGTATAGTAAATAATACTGATTTGAAATCTTAAAATTCAACAGTTATTTTTTTTTCAGATTTTCTGAATAAAATACTTTTCATGGAAAATTACTTTTCCAAAATTTTCCTAATTTTTAGCGTAAATAATTTTTTTGGCCAAATTTTAGTGTAAATAATTAAATAAGATATTTCAAGAAAATTAACATGCATGTTAGTTATTTAATTCATATATTTTACATTTAAGATTAAAGGAAAAAAAAATAAAAAATAAATGGGGCACTTTTACTGAGTTGTGAGTGATCGTACCCCAAAAAAATGTATATATAAGTATTATCAAAGGCACGTTTTATATCATAATTAATTTCAGGCCTCTTTGTCTAAAATTTTCCCATTTTTATATATTTTTAAGCGGGGCTGAAGGCCCAACAGCGTCCACGTCAGCCTTGAATGTACTCTCCAATGAAAAGCGTCCATATGCGAGCATGCCTATGAAAAGCTATGGTTTGCGCCGCGCGCCGTCAGAGAGCTTTCATGTGCCCGGTGATTCCGCCCATTAGCGGCGGTTTCTGGCAGTTCATTGCTTTCAGGCGGAGATCGGTTTATGGTGATTCTTAACTTTCTTCCATATCACTTTGTCCTTTTATAACTTTTTATTGTCGTGTTACCCTTATTCCTAAAAAGAATGAATGAAGTTTGTAAATGGAAGGCTTTTGTCTCGCTTCGGATCGAGACCATCTCCGAACTGATACAGTTATGATTCTAGGAGGCATCAAAATCTTATTTTACCGGATTGAAGGTCCTGAGCAAACCGGAAGGAGCCTGGGGATAAGGATAAGAAGATGCTGGGAGCGGAGCGATTGCAGTTCGAGCGTAAATCCACCTTTCCATGTTCCCTTGCTTCACTTCTCGCTGATCTCCGGAGCAACGCCGACAGCACCAATAGTTAGAACTACCGCATGTGGAACGTGTCAAACAGAACCATTGAATATCTTCAGCAACGCCAAGAAGAAATCACCGAACAAAGACGGCATGTGGAAATTGTCGAACAGACTCACGATTTCACCGGGCACAAGTAAAGTTCTAGACTTTACATTTAATATTCTCATTTCTTCATATTTTCTTCTGTACTCAGATTTTTACGTTCCAACGACATCGAGGCATCTTTTTCCTTGCCCCGACTACGACAAACAGATTCATGATCTTCTGGGTTCCCTTTGCAAAAGCAGAAAGTTTCATTTTTCAAGTCTAGGTTTGCTGCTGTTGGGTTTTTGACGTTTCTTCGAATTCTGTGCTTATTGTTGCGCACCACTTTGGATTTACATAAAGTTGTTTTTGGCTTGTAGTGGGGAACTCTAATCTTTGTGTGCTCTTTACATATCTTTCATGCCCATAATGTGTGCATAGTTGAGCAATCAAATTCTGTATATTAGATTTGTTATATTACTTTTAGTTGTCGATCTTTTTCTTTATCTGCGCATGTGGGAGACGTTCATTTGACTGGTTCGGAATTTAGCATTCTAAAGCTTCTAAATCGTTATCTACTTAAAATTATTTTACAAAATCTTCCTGTTCCTGTTATGTTGGTGATTTCATTGCTTTTAGTAAACAGCAGCTTGTCCCCATTTCACTTTTTCTCCTCTTATTTTCTTCATTTCACATTTCTTCCTATGACGAGTGCTAATAATGGTTATCATTAGCTTCCTGCAGAACTAGTTTTTGGTTGTGAAAGAATAGGGGTTTTACATTTTATTTTATTTTATTGGCCTGATTCTGCATTTTTGTTCCTATTAAGAAATGTTTTATATAATTATCCTCAGAAATTAAAGAAGACAGGTAATAGGAGGACGGAGATTGCCAGAAGTTGACATTGTCCGTAGAAAATGTTTTATGTATATATGCTCTGTTCACTCTCCCTCATCTTACGTAATCTTATTCATAATGTCAACAAAGATCCTATTGTTTCTCATTATGTAATCTGTGTATATTAAAAAGAAATTGATTTACATGCACTAATCACTTTTTATTATCATGTTGACTACCTTAGTTAGGTTTGATTCATGCTAAGAAAGAGGAATAAACTTGCATTACTCAACTTTATCTATTCATGCATAGGTTTGTCCCCCCCCCCCCCAACTCTCAAAAAAACTGTTTTCCCTTCAACTCTCAATAAAACAAGGTGATGGTGTCTAATTAGTAAGGGCATAGCATTACCTTACATGGAGCTGTCATTTACTTTGAACAGAGTAAAGTTGTCATTGTTTATTTCCCAGTGATAAATCGTAAACTACATCCCTTATTTACATGCTTTTAAACATTTGTATTAATCTTTGATGTATACTGCTCCCATGACCATAATTATTCTCTGAAGGGAAAATAATATGGCTTGCCACCAATTTATTGATTTTGTCTTGATTTGGCTGTCACTTGATAGAGTACTGGAATCTTCAGTTGGAAACACTCCCTGCCATTCTGTGCTAGTGGTTTTCAGTTTTCAGTTCTGCTTCAATTTATTCAAATGGTACACTTTTGCCATTTTATTCAATTTATTCTTAACATGTTATTTCTTTTACATCAGGTGTTATATCAGGAGTCCTTCTGTGTGCTAAAGATTATTTTGTGGAAATTATTAGCAATTGTAGTTTCTCTCAGCTACATCCTTTTCTTTTTTTTTTTCCCCTTTATCGTCGTCATTAATTCAAAAAATTGCATTTCTATGCGGTTTACAACAAATCAAAGTATTTAGCAAAATAACTCACTCTCTTGAGATACCAGCGATAGTTAACTAAACTGATGTTGGTAGTTTGTTATTGATTGGATTCTTATGTTGCAGGGGGGATGTGGCAATGGCTCATGGGTATGCCCTGTTAGCTTTGTACCATAGAGCTAATTAATTATCGTTTGATTTAGATTTGTTGTAACTATAATTTGGAAGTGCTGATATTTCTTACGCACTTTTTATAACGAGCTGACTGCTTATGTGCCATGTGTAACCTCCTTCGGGCCAGAAGCTTCCTTCCTTCTTTCTTCTCCTTTTTGTGGGGTGAGGGGTGGGGACCATTGGCCTGACGTTTTTTCTCTTCTCAAATTGTTGTGTTCATTTGTTTCAGACATTAGGAGTAGGATTCTCATGGAAACCAAACAAATCATGCCTGCAGACTGCAGTCATTTTCCAAGTTTCTCAAATTTATACGGGAACAAGTGTACTGGACTATTAGGATTGACAGCTCTGATGTTTCCTGGTTATTGATTCAATTACTATGACCGAGCGTACCTGACTATCCATAGAACACTTCAAAATTTGGCATATATGAAGAAGTATTAGTTATTGAAATTCCATGCAAACAGAAGTGGGAAAAGATGGTTGAACGAAAGTTGGTGTTAAATGCACTTATTTGCTTGTTGCCCCTATCAATCAACAATTTTTGGGTTTGTTGAAGGTGTTTGCTCTTAAGTTGTAGGATTTCATTGTTATACCTATGCAACTGAACACAATTCACCAAATTTTCTGTATTAAAATTGTCGACTAACCTATCATAAGGTTCCCTTATGTCACAGAATGGATCCTCTTAGCAAAAGATTTGTATACTTGTCAGTAAATGCCGGATTATTAGTCTCCCCTATCTCTTTGCCTCAAGCTTTGATGCATCTTATCAGTAAATGCTCTTTGGATCAGAACATTTATCCAAAATTTTTATTGGAGCTGACTCAAATATGAATTACAGGCGATAACAGTTATAGCAAAGGAAGAAGGCATCAAGGTTTACTGGAAGGGCAACCTCCCCCAGGTCTCTACAAATGATTGAGTCGATGGGCATCTATTTCTCCAAATAATATTTACAGGTCATTTCATTTGTTTTAGTGTTTCTTGTTTTGCATACCAGGTGATTTGGATCATGCATTATAGTGCTGTCTAGCTTTTCCTTATGAAACGTATAAGGTGATCCCCTAACTCTAACTATCTTGTAAAATGTTTCACTGCTAAAATTTTCTTGTCCAAGCCTAGTATTATCCTCTTGGATTTCTAGAAAATATTCAGGGGAAAGAATGGTGACCTTTCTGTTTCTGGAATACTTGCTGCAGGTGCTTTTGCAGGCATGACATCCACTTTTGAAAGTCACTTATTCCAAAGGACTTGTAGGTTTTACAACCATGCTATTATGTTATTGTGCTTCATTCCAGCATTTTATCATAATGTACTCTATATGCCAATAGAACAGTTTTTCTTGTAACTTAATCCTTTTTACAATTTTCTAATTTCTATCACTCTTTTGAATTTTATTTATTGTTATTTGTAACTATAATATCTGTCGGTGCATATAATCTTGTTTATATCTATGTAGATAACATACCCGCTAGATGTCTTGAGATTACGATTAGCAGTTGAACCAGGTCACCGAACCATGACTGAGGTATGTACTATCAATATGATAGGCCTGGCTTTTGTATCTCACAAAGACTCGCCTCTTTAAAAACGGATCAAACTTTCGCTTTTCCAGGCTGCTTTGGGCATGCTAAGAGATGAAGGATTTGCATCTTTCTATTATGGCTTGGGGCCTTCCTCAATTGGAACAGATCGTTATATTGCTGTCAACCTTTGTGTTTTGGACTTGCGAGCTCATGGACAATCATTTATCTTCTAGGTAAGTTAAAAGAGAATGGACTTGTACATAGAAATTGAAACATCTTGGTCATCTTCTAATGGTAGATTAAAGAAGTTTTTTTCTATATGGCGGCCTTTTTCTATATATAAAATGGAACTAGTTGCCATGAATGAACTATTAGAAATAGGGCGTCATTTTCAATCTCAGTTTTCAACAGAATCCACTTGCTCCTCGTTTAAGGTCCCATGCATGTTTTTGCACCGGAGGCAGCTTCAACCTGCGTGAGCCTGAGCCATCCTTTCTCTTATTTTCTAGAATAATTCGCATTAAGCAATAATTGAAATGTAAAAACGGAATCCTCAAAAAGCATATCTGCAAATTGGTTAAAAATACTTTATTTATCCTAGTAGTTTTTCACCATTTTATTTTAATCTTTATAGTTTAAAAATTCATTTAGTCAATGCATCATAAATTTTACAGACATATGTCAGCTAAATGTCAGCTTGTCATTCTTACCATGTAAGATCTATGTGAATAAAATGTGTAAAAGTATATGACAATGAACTCCACTCATATATGTAGCTTGTAACGCCACCAGTGTTAAAGTGGCTTGGATGATTTGCATAAATAATCTATTTTAGAGTCTCAAGAGGGCACTCAGTCCTCCTTCATAGATTCTGTTGATCTTCTTTTTATTTTTCCAAATTGATTGTTAATTTTGGAGTCACAAACCTTACACAAATTTATTATGGCTTGGGGCTTTCCTCAATTGGCATAGCTCCTTACATTGCTGTCAACTTTTGTGTTTTTGACTTGTGAGTTAATGGACGATCTTTTGATCTTTTATCTTCTAAGTAAGACTAAAAGAGAATGGACTTAGATATTGAAATTGTTGCCCGAAAAATATCAGAAGAGAACTGAAATCTCCCTACTACTAGCTGTTCTTTCAGCTTCTCCTGCCACAATCACATGCTACCGTCTGGACACTTTGAGGAGACAGGTGCAGTTTAAGGGTACAACTTACAATATAGTTGTAGATGCTCTTACACGTGGGCATTGCTCCTCTTTGCATTCATTTCTTGCATACACATTTGGTATATGCGTATGCAAATTTTTTTTTTTTTTTTTTTAACTATAAAGGAGCATTTTGGTTAGGAATTTACTAGATGTGTGGGTCTGAATATAAATTTTGGTATTTTTGCCTGATTTAATTTGGATTTTCTTAGACTATATATATCTTTTATTTAAAATATATTTTAATTTTCTTTGAGAAAAGTAAATTGCACATCCTTCCAATTTTGTCAATATTATATAATTTTTTTAATGTTAAATTGTACCCAATGTTACATAAAGGAAAGAAGAGTTTTCCTAAATTCGGCAAAATTAGAATGAAAATTTTCAGTCCGTGCAATAATTTTAAAATGATTTAATCCGTGCAATTTTTTTCTTTTAAGCTTAGGTGTAATCCAATAAGTATCAAAACCGTTCCATTCGCGCTTCTATTTTTCTTGAATTTCTTTCTTTCTTCGTGCACAAGTTTCCTCTCTTTTCCTCTTCTTCCTCATCTAGAGATTCTCATTCTTCCTTCCGTCTCCGGGATGAGTGAACCGCAGAGCCCTCGTCAAGATGCTGAGCCGCAGAGCCCTCGTCAAGATGCTGAGCCGCAGAGCCCTCGTCAAGATGCTGAAATGGAGGTGTTGAGCTGACGCGATTCTTCTTGTAGTTAATTCTGCGTAATGCTTCCAGTTGGTATTTAAAAATCTTTAATTATTACGTGTTTTCTTGCTCACAGTCTCTGCACAGATGGACGAGAGAAATGTATCGTCAGTTGTTTCGTCTTCCGCTGGAGGAAGTGAGTATACCATTGTTGGCTAATTGTCAATTGGTACTTAAAAGCTTTCCCTTCTTTAGTGATTTTCTTTCATTTTTCAGGTTCTCCTTGGACATTTTGCGTGTTCTGTACTCCGCCAATCATGTCCTGTAATCGGCGAAACAAAATGGTTAGAGGTAATCAGGCTACTGCCCCTTCCTGTGTGCATTTGTAATTTTAATACAATGTTGCCTCTTCAGTAATATGATGTTCAATGATTCACTCGAAGCACTTCATTTTCATCAACTTTCCATTTTTTGTTTTTTTTTTTTTTGTTTTTAATTTAGTATCTAGTAACCTCCTTTAGACTAATCTCCCCTCATTAATTTATGAATGTTCCAAATTGGATCATATGAGTTCAAAGCTCTCAGGCAAGAATATTCTTGGCCGTCGTGAAAAATTCCAATATGATCCCTTAAAATAATCAGATGCTAAATGTTATGATCTTAAAAACTCGAGGTAAATACAAACGATATGATGCAAATCTGGTTCAGACGATAGGGGTAAAGGAACGTAGGGAGTAATGTCAGGTCTCTTAACGTTTCAGCAATGAAACGTGAAAAACAGGATGTATGCAACAGAAACTATCTTAGAAGTGATAAAAAAAGGGCCAAAATATCGCATGTCAAGCTTGTGATTTTTCCACAGAGCTACTGAAGTTTGTTTGTAGGGTTGCAGCTTGACCAAAACGAAATCCCCTACTGCAAAGTGCATCTCAGTCCTTTTATTATCAGCAAGTTTCTTCCGCCTTAGCTGTGCCTTATGTAAATTCTGCTTCAATTGATTCCGAATATGATCACGTATCTGTAGTTGTGCCATCAAAGCAGTCGGACACCCTTCGTTACCCTTAAACGGTAACAGAGTTGGTGGGTCACGCCCGTATACAGCTTTAACCTCTTCTGCTATATCTCCTCTAAGAATAAGAACCACATTAGTCAAGTTCAACCTTTTCAACTCAGAATCATTTTTCAAAAAATCTTTAACCATATTGCAGACCTCCTCCTTCACCACCTTCCATGAGGCTTGATAAAACAAGTTAGAGGAGCCATCTGGACCTGGAGACTTGTTGGCATTTATTTGAAAGACGGCAGATTCAATTTCTATGTCTTCCACTGGTCTCAACGGAAGTTCATTATCTTCACTGGTAATCACTTTTTTGGCATAGCATAGGGCATCCTCCATATCTCTTGACCCCACCGTGGTAAAAAATTAGGTATAATACTGTGAGAAAACTTCATTATGTCCTCAGTTCTCTCTAACCACACCCCATTAACTGCCTTCAACCTCAGAACCTTGTTCCTCAGTCTTCTTTGAATTACCATTTTATTGAAGAATTTGGTATTGCCATCACCATATTTCAACCAGCTTACTCTTGATCTTTGCCACCAATAAATCTCTTCCTTGGTCCTTATGTCTTCCATTTTAGCTGAAACTTCAATTAACTTCCTCGTTTTTTCTTCGGTAAGAGACCCTTCATTACATTCCCCAATTTCCTTTGAGCACCGATCAATCAACTTTTTATTATTTTGGAAGTCACTCTTACTCCATCTTATTAACTCCCTTTTGCACCAATTCAACTTGAAAAGGAAATTATCAATGCTGGCTTCTAAAGAATCAGAGCTTCGCCTCCATCCGTTCTCAACCACCCTCTCGTAATCTTTGAGTCACCCACATAGTTTCAACTTTGAACTTCCTTTTCACCATCACATCATTAAAGCAACAATAAAAACCGTGCGATGGTCTGAACCCACTGGTTCGAAATGAAACACAACTGCTTTATCGAAATCCACTCTAAACTGAATACTTCCCCGAGCTCTATCCTATCTTTCTTCCGCATGAGCTTCCCCTGTTCTTCTATTGTTCCGGGTAAACTTAGAGCCTTTGAACTCTAGATCAATAAAATTGCAATCGGATAGAACAAATTTGGAAATTTATAACTGACTTTAAAGTACGCGGTCTTCCTCCTTCCTTCTCCAAAACAGAAGTGAGATCATTGAAGTCTCCCAAACAGAGCCAAGGTGCATCTAAACCCCGAGCAAGAGATCTCAATCTGTTCCACACTAGACGCCTTTCTCTTTCAACTGGATGACCATATATAATGGTCATACAACTAGGTACATTCATGACTGTAGAACAGAGTCTAGTATGAATTAAGTTCTTTGAACTGTACATTATCTGTACTTCAACTTCATTCCTCCAGACAAACCTTTAGAATGTACAAAAAATTCCTTCTGTAAGCCCCACCTCCTCTTTATTCCTTTCATTTTATTTTCTACCATCCTTGTTTCCATCAGAAAAATAACTCGGGGCTTGTATTTATTATTCATTTCCTTCAGATATATGTTTTTGTGTGTCTTATCCTGTCATTTACTCTGTTCTTTTGTTTGTTTGCAGGGCCGTATGTGTCTGTATAAAAATTTCTTGTGTTTCTACACAAGCCTAATCCGGTCTGAGGTATGCTATGCTACATAAAACTGTTTGTTTTTTTTACTGTTTTCAATTCTCATTTTTGGTTTATTGATATAGAGAGTAATCCCATATGATAAAGTCACCAGTGCAAAGAAGGTACAAGCACTTGCCATTGATATTGTTGTTGGAAGCAAGGAGGTATGCTGTATGATCAAATTGTTGCATTTGACTTTTGATGTGTTCATCGTTGCATTTGGCTTTTGATGTGTTCATCTTATGTTTTAAAATCAGCCACATAATGCCTTATTACACTTGTATAATGTGCAGTACTGTTTTAATAATGTTCATCGCCGTGATGAGGCATTTGCTCTCATCAATACTCAGTGTTCTAAACACCTCTGTGAGCAAGGAGAAACTGTAGATAAAAAGACCAAATCAGCGGATGATACAGCTCCCTCCACCTCAGTATCACGGCCCTCAAAAAAGAGGAAGAGGGATAAACCTGACAACTGCACTCTTTTCTTCTCAGTTATCGCAACCAGATCTATGATAAAACGTGAAGAACTGGTAAGTTTATAAATTATAATTTTATATTTTATAATGAATAAAATATTACTAATTTTGTTTTTCCCCTTGGCAGGTGATAAAGAAAAAACTTTATAGGAGGATGATATATAGAAGATTAGACGTCAAGCCACTATTCTTTATAGAATCTGTTGACAATTCTGGCCGTCCAAAACAGTGGACGATTGTATCTGAACAAAACAGCTTTGAAGGCATAAGAAAGGCAAGGTTTAAACAAGGATGGGAAGCCTTCATGGTTCAAAATGCAATTAAGGAGGGTGATATCATTACTTTCAAAAAGAGGTATAAGAGAAAAAGATTGTTTGCTGTGCACGTTGATCGCTGGGACAAGACCTCACACCAGTATGTGAGGTCAATTTGTTGCCTTCATTGCAATCACTTTATTCGTGCCTGGAATTAAGTAGTTTCTTAATCAGACATTATTCGACTTTTTCGGCAATCAGTTTTATATGAATGTTTTTGTGCTTTATCTCTGTTGTCAGCAGATGTCAGTCACTGATTCACAATAACTAGTTTTCCGATTCTTAACTGGAAATTTAAGGGGCAATAGCCTCTTATACGGTGGGATTAAGCAAGACTCCAGCTGAGAGGGCTGCTTTAACGGAAGGAGATCTACTGTTACATTTTTCTTCCATACGTTTTTCCACCTGTCATCTTGAATTTCCTACCCAATACTTTATATAGGTGGTGCTATTGTGACATAAGATAGGTTAAAATCTGGAAACACAAGGAAGTTTCACCGGTTCACAAGTGGTTCAAATTCAAGTATATTATGGGCATGCAGGTGCTGTGTCTATAGTTTATAGAATTTATTTATTTTTATCACTTCAGTGAGGAGAGAGGCCATGCAATTTGTTCCTATCAAAGTCCTTCAAAATCTATTACAGCTGATAACGTCAAATTCTCTTTCTACTATTGAAAATATTTAATCAATGAAACTTTCAGAGAGTTTTTATCTTGGAATTAGGATTTTGTTTGTGATGCTCTTCATCTTGAAATAAGTTAAGATTCTATTTAATTTTTCAACGATTTTTCAGATTATATACGTATGAAATTCCTCACAAGAAATTTGGGCTTTAAAGCATGAAACTAGCCCACTTATATTTTATGTGAGGAACTATTTACAGGTAAAAGGGCAATTTAATAATATCTATCACTATAATTAGAATTCAGGCCTAACCATTGTAGCCTCTTGTGTGCGGATACATCTCAAGCCCTCATGTGGCCTGGTGATAACTTTTTTCTTAACACATCATTATATTGCTGCCTGCTTGCTGGAAAACAAGTAAATCAGACATTGTCCTAAATTAGCCCTGTAAGGCAAACTCATTTTCTTTTGTGCTATGCTAAGCATGCATATTGATGAAAATTAAAGTGAATTATGGTCGTGTATTTTACACTGAATCAAACTTGTGCTCCATTGTTTGATTTCTCCAGTTTGGTTTTTTGTCCCCTTCTGTGCAGCATCATGGCTTACCTCATGAACAAGCAAGAAGGCAGTTCGGTGAACATCAGGGTCAAAAATCCTCATTTTAGATGTTTTGAAACCCAAACGTGAGTTTTATTTTTATTTGTGAACCGTGCACAAAATTAGATGGGGAACTCCAAAAGTATTTTTTTTCACTAAAGGAAAACTCCAATTAAATTGGGCTAAAATATAAAAATCTAAACCCAGGCTTACAACATTCATGTATACAACAGTTTAACCCTAACCTTTATCGGAATATAAAAAAACTAGCCTCAAAATTTCTGAACAGCGACCTCATCAACGCTGAAATTTTCCAGATTTGAGAAATGGACTCAAACCACTCGGCCAACAACATGCAATCCATCAAACATAATCAATACAACCTCTATTCATCACTTAACAACTTTTCTCTTAAGTTTTTGATCAAATCTTGATTTTCTCTCTCTAAAACCAGATTTCAAACATCATTTTGTTTCCCAATGTGTAGCAACTGAAGAAAACAAATATGAGATGATGTTTAAAGGACGCACCTCTATCCATATTTAAGCTTGCATGTGAGATCTTGAGCCTCCGTCTTCCTCTCGTTTTCTCTTTTCTTTCTCTAGCTTTTTCTCTCTCTGGTTGTAGGTTGAGCAAATGAAGCGAAGATGGTTGTTTGTGTTTCAAAATGCCTAATGACCATTTTACCCTTGAGCATAAAGCTCGTTCTTAGTTTCATCCCTTAGCCATTATTCTAAAACACCAAATAATTTCAAGAATTTAATGCTTTACAAGGATTTTCTTCTTCAATGACCTTCTTTACCTTACAAGGCAGTTTCTCTGAATTTTAATGGCAAAAATAAATTCTGAATTATTTTTCTTGAATTATTCAGGAAAATAGACTTTAATTTCATAAAATAAGGATTTTTTTTAAACCTCAATTAGCTTTCTTAATGATAAAGACCGAACGAGCAGATAGTAGGCTAAGAGAAAATAATAAATAAGACTAATTCTTCTGTCTATAAGTAAGGCAAGAATCTCACTCTTACTCAGAAATAGACCGAGGAGAATCTCCACAAAAGTTAAATACTCTCTGAAAAATGACGATGATTTATTCACGAGGCAAAAGGGTCTATTTATAGGTTGTGCAGAGAGTGAAAGTAGGAAAATAATTAAACAGAATATCAAATGAGATAAAAGATCTAAATTACCCCTAAGTTGAAGTAGGAGTATCCCACTTATTTCTCCATTAACAGAATTAGACCGAACGAATTGGAACAAAACAAAATATCAAGGAATCAGCAGTAAATTAGCCGTTTGAATTCCTTATGCTTCTCTGCCATGTTTCTTCCTCTTAGAATAAGTCAACTTGAATTGTGCCACCAGTAGATCATAGTCTTCCCAAGTAGCGTCCTCTAATGGTCAGTCAACCTATTGGATTAATAATTCTAGATCATTTGTTAGACATCCAGCGGTGTTGCGGCACTTTTGAGGGGGAGAGCATCAACTCCATGTCCGAAGACAGGGGTAATGGAGCTGGAGTGGGCCGCAGATTCTGCCCCGTTGCTGGCCTCAGCAAAGATACATGACAAATGGGGTGAATTTTGCCCGATGAATGGAGCTCCAGTTCATAAGCAACCTACCCAATTCAACGGAGTATCTTGTATGGGACCAAAAAACCCAGGAGATAGCTTCTCAAACTTTCTTCGAGCTAATGTTTTCTGACGGTATGGTTGTAGTCTTAACCACACCACATCCCCCGGTGCAAATTGAAGGTCACAACGGTGGCGGTCTGCCTGAACCTTCATGCGATTTTGAGCTTTCAACAAGTTGTCACGCAAGATCCTCAACATGTCATCCCGAAGTTCCAACTGCTCTTCTAATTCTGCAACTACTGTTTTGCCTTTGACATATGGAACAAGTGGAGGGGGTTCTCTTCCATATACAAGTTTGAACGGTGTGTTTCTAGCTGATACATGATAACTGGTGTTGAAAGAATATTCAGCCCAGCAAAGGTAGTCACTCCACCTCCTTGGTTGTTCATGTGCAAAACACCTTAAGTACGTCTCCAAACATCTGTTGACTACCTCTGTTTGACCATCTGACTAAGGATGGTAGACTGTGCTCATGTTTAAGCGGGTTTGGCTTAGGCGGAATAATTCTTGCCAGAGTCCACTCAAGAAGAAAGAATCACGATCAGAGACTATAGAGTGAGGCATGCCGTGGAGGCAGACTATTTCCTTGCAAAATAGCTTAGTAGTGTAAGGATGGGACAAAGGCATGAAGTGAGCATATTTAGTCAATTGATTAACCACCACTAAAATCACATCATAACCTTGAGATTTTGGTAGACCAGAGATGAAATCATGTGATATATCCTCCCAAATGCGCATTGGGATAGGGAGAGGCTGAAGAACTCAAACAGGAGCTAACATGTGGTATTTGCTTTGCTGGCAAGTATCGCACCTCTGGATGAAGTGCTTGACATCGTTTTTCATTCCCCGCCAATGCAAATGAGCACTCAACCTTTTTAGTGTTTTTAAGTAACCCCCATGGCTACTTATGGGTGTAGCATGAGCCTCCTCTAGTAGCTTATTACGTAGCTCAGCTTGGTTAGGGATGACCAGCCTTGCTTTATAATATAACCGACCATTAACCAAGCTAAAATCAGAAGTGGGATCTGGATTTTGTGGTAAATCCTCAATAATGGGTCTGCTTTTAGGATCCTCCAATAAAGCTTGCGATAATTGGGCAATATCATCCACCATAAGGACTACCAATCGGAAAAAATCAATTTGTTGTGGCTTCCTCGAAAGTGAATCTGCTGCTACATTGTTTTTCCCTGATTTATATATGATGGTGAAATCAAAGGGAAGTAGCTTAATGAGGAGTTGCTGTTGGGAATTAGTGACAATTTTCTGTTCCATTAAATGCTTCAAGTTGCAGTAGTCAGTGAGGATTGTGAAATGGTGGCCTAAGAGGTAGTGCTGTCACTTCTAAATGGCAAGAACCAGTGCCAACAATTCTCGGTCATAAGCTGACTTGAATCGGTTGGAAAAAGAGAATCCTTTGCTGTAATAGGCAATTGGATGCCCTTCTTGTATCAGTACTGCTCCTATCCCATCCATGGATGCATCACACTCTACTGTGAATGGAAGGTTAAAGTCTAGCAGCCTCAAAACTGGCGTGGTGGTCAAAGCATGTTTTAATGTATCAAAAGCTGTTTGGGCCTATTCTATCCAGGGGAAAGCACCTTTCTTGGTCAGTTATATTAATGGGCGTGCAATTAGCCCATAATTCTTCACAAAGCGTCGATAGTAGCCAGTGAGGCTAAGAAAACCCCTCAACTCCTTGACATTTGCTGGAGGAGGCCAGTTAATAACTACTGCAATCTTTCCAGGCACGACCTCTACTCCATTTTTAGTGACAATGTGCCCCAAGTAATCAATCTGTATCTGTCCCAACAAGCACTTTTTTGCATTAGCGTAGAAGGAATGTGTCTGTAAAACCTGGAATTCGAAGGTGCTCTAAATGTTGGTGAGCGTTGGGACTGTATACCGGTATATCATCAAAAAACACCAATACAAATTTCCTCAAATAAGGTCAAAACAAATCATTTATGATGGATTGAAAAGTTGCAAGGGCATTAGTAAGTCCAAAGGGCATGACTACAAATTCATAATGCCCAAAATGAGTTCAAAATGTAATCTTGTGAATGTTAGAAGGCAGAACCAGTATTTGATGATAACTAGACCATAAGTCTATTTTCAAAAAATTAACAACACCTTGTAATTCATCTAGTAACTCATCTACATTTGGGATAGGGTACTTATTTGGGATAGTGATTTGGTTTAAGAAGCGGTAGTCAATACAAAGGCGCCATGAAGCGTCCTTTTTACTCACCAACATAACAGGACTCACAAATGGGCTGGTACTGGGTCTAATAAAACCCTTTTTTAGCAAATCTGTGACTTGAGTGTCAATCTCATTCTTTTATGAATGTGGATAACAGTAAGGTCTCAAGTTTGGGGGAACTGCATCCCCCTTGAGATAAATAGAGTGGTAGTGGCCCCTTGCTGGGCATAGAGATGATGGTTCTGCGAATATGTTGGGGAATTCATAGCAGATGGAATAGATGTTCAAGGTCTCGGTCTCATCAGGTCCCTGTGTCACTACTAAGCTGTGCAATTACACATCGGTTTTCGGATTGCAGGTCACCCCTTGCAGTTGATACTTCTTCCTATTTACCCAAAATATCATAAACATGTCATTCCAGTTAGCTTGAATTGTATTCAAGGAGGCTAACCATTTAATTCCTAGAACTAAATCGGTCCCCCTTAGCGAGAAAGGGAAAAAGTCTTGTTTGATGATTAAATCAGAAACGGTCACCTCCAAACCCGGGCATACTTGGTTAGACCTTACTGTGCTACCATTCCCAATCTGAACTCCAAAAGACTGAACTTGCTGCACTGGTAACTGCAATTCTGACACAATTGCCTCAGATACAAAATTGTGTGTTGATCTGCTATCAACTAGGATGAGAATATTTCTACCATGCAATATTCCTTGTAGCCGCATAGTTGAGGCCAAAGATTTGCCCAGAATTGCATTGAAAGATATTTTCACATTAACAACCACTGTATTAGCGTTGAGTTCCTCGATTAGTGGGGGCATCACCTCTTCGCCCTCTTTGGCAATTTTCATCAATGAGAACGACCCAGCACAATGATGACTAGGCCAGAAAGGGTCACTGCACCTGAAACACAACCCTTTTTTCTGACGGCATTGGTATTCTATGGTCGCGGTCGAGTGTACTAGTCTCGTGCCTAATGATAAACCAATCACTGCTTGGTATGCATCTATTGAATTCATCTTCGGCTCACATGCATTGTAGGACTGGGTAGTGGGCCTATTCTAACCAGAAGAGTAAGTGAGCTTGGGCCCCACAACAGATTTGAGCTTCTTCTCATATTCGAGTGCTAAGCTAGTTGCCCTATACACTGTGCATGGTTTATGAATCCGAACATCTGCCTTAAGCTCTTCCTTCAACCCATTAATGAACACTCCTATTAGACAATGCTCGGGCCAATTTTTAATGTGAGCAGATCGCCTGGCAAATTCTGCTCGATATTCGGCCATCGTTCCCATCTGCCAAATATTGCACAGGTACTCATCAGGGTTCTGGTACTCCGGCGGCCCATAATATTCCTGGAGAGCCTTGACCAACTCATTCCAATACACCACTGTTCGCTCCCCATTTATCTAGGAGAAGAGATCCAATGCATCCCCTTCTAGGTACATGGATGCAACATCTACCTTGATTTCTTTTAGAGTTTCATAGTACTTGAAGTATTTCTCAGCTTTCAAGACCCAACCTCTAGGATCCCCACCACTGAATTTCAGAAAATCAATCTTCGTATAGGGCATATGGCGACAAAAAGTTGAATCAGGATCATCCTCGCTATTGGCTTCCCAGTATGAGTGATATTGTCCTCTTCTTTGATTGCAATCAGACAATGCCTCCAAGTTAGCTACCCTGTCAGCCAAAACTTCTAGAGTTTGAAGGCGCTTAGTGATGGTGACTAAGGGATTGTTCTCGTTGGCAAATGAATTCTCTAGTTGTTGTGGAGGGTGGAGTGATGATCTGCTTTCAACCATGGCTCTGATCCCAAAGATGACAAAGACTGGATGGGCAGGTAGTAGGCTAAGAGAAAATAATAAATAAGACTAATTCTTTTATCTATAAGTAAGGCAAGAATTTCACTCTTAGGGGTGTGTTTGGTTGGAGGGGAGGGGAGGGAGGGAAATGAGCCCCTCCCCTCATTTGGTTAAAAATTTTAGAGGGGCCCCTCCCTCCCCCCATTTTGGCTCCCTCCAAATTGGGGGTTTTTGGAAGGGAGCCAAAATTTTGGACCATTATACCCTTATGGTTTTTTTAATATTCCACTTCTACCCATAAAATATATTATTATAATATTTATTTCAAATAAAAAATATATTATCCTAAGTAAAAAATAAAAAAATAAATACATTATTATAATTAAAAATATTATAAAAATTATTTAAAAATAAAAAATTATTTAAATAAAAAATTAATTGTTTTTTATAAATATATTATTTATTAAATATATTTTAAAGCTGGAAAAAAAGATAGCTTAAAGAAAATAAAATTTCATTTTTCTTAGAGCATATAAAATTTGTTAATTTGATTATTTTAAATATATTATTATATTAATTAGAATAAAAAATTACTATACCAATTTTTTAATACACATATTAACATGATAAGACTGAATTTTTATTAAATTATATAATTTGAATTAAGATGTAAATTAATTTATATAATATATCAATAAAAAACATAAACTAATATCTAAGGGTAAAATGGTAAATTGATTATTACTATCCCTCCCCTCCCCTCCTTGAACCAAACAAGGGATCATTAAATACCCTCCCCTCCCTTCCTTTTTAATCAAACCAAACAAGGTGAGGATGAAACTCCCCCTCCCCTCCCCTCCCCTCAAACCAAACAGGCCCTTACTCAGAAATAGACCAGGGAGAATCTCCACAAAGGTTAAATACTCTCTGAAAAATGACGATGATTTATTCATGAGGCAAAAGGGCCTATTTATAAGTTGTACATAGAGTAAAAGTAGGATGAGATAAAAGATCTAAACTACCCGTAAGTTGAAGTAGGAGTATCCCACTTATTTCTCCATTAACAGAATTAAACCGAAAGAATAGGAACAAAACAAAATATCAAGGAATCAGCAGTAAATTAGCCGTTCGAATTCCTTATTCTTCTCTGCCACGTTTCTCAACTTGAATTTCACTGGGGTCTTATCACTTAACTTATAAAATAATTCACAAACTTTCTAAATTCTAAAAAATAATGTTCCATAATGTTTCTTCCAAAATTTCTTGGCATATGTTTTTCAGGACCAGCAGCCAAGGCAAATACAATTCACCGTTCATTATGCTTTGATATTGACTCTCGCTAAGTGGTTGACAGTGAGCTGGGTACCATTACACAATCTAATTGATTTGTCTATATTATATATCAACATTATAGGTGCCCACGCATCTAATTTTTTATACTTTAAAATATAAATAATTATTAATGTATGAAATGATTTTAAATTCAAATTTTCTACGTTAATAAATAATAAAATTTATGACCTGTGTGATGCAAGGATCAAATTAGCATAGAATAAAAAACCGGATCGAACCAGCCAGTTCAACGGGTAAACTTGTCAGTAGTCCGGTTCGGTTTGAATATTAAACTAGGAGGGAGTTGAATTGGTAGCGAACTAAAACCAGTGTGAACCGGTAATAAACCAATTTGGATGATTATGCTGTTATTGGTCCTATTTTTTCTCATTTAACTCCTAAT